ATTTCTTGTCAGCAAAAGCAAGGAGTTTGTCTTCCGGGTTGCTCGTCGTACGGGTGCGGGTTACTTCTCCTATGTGGTTTGTGAGCTATTGCATAAGAACGAAGTTTTATCCTGTGCGCACCCAAATGATAGCAGTTGTGGGTTTCCCTTGTCATAAAAAAAATTAAATTGTGAAAGTAGTTATTAATACTTGCATGAGGTACTAGACTGTCTATATCACACTTCTTGTGGTGCAGTCTTTCCTTAAACTCACATTAACGGAATGCTTTGTGCACCGAATTATCAAATTTCATTATAGCCTTTGCTTAATTGCATTTATGTGGAGGCAATAGTTATACTTAGGTAAGAACCACCACAAAGAGTTTCTCCATATTTTGATTTATTTGGTTCATGTCATTCATGTTGGCTTAAGTCTTTAATTTGGACTTTATTGGGGCATCTTGTGCACAGAGCAGAGCTACATTAACAAAAAGAATTCAGCCCAACTCAAAAGTTTTTGCTTATTTCTTGTAATTTATATTAGAAATTAGAAAATATACTATACATGTATAAATGTTAATTACAAATTCAATAATTAAAATGAGTTATGAATTTAACAACAAATTCAAAACTTGTAAACTTCAAATTGTGATTTCATCTTTGCATGTGATGTGAGTCAATTCGTATAAGTTCAAATTTTCTTAACATGACTCATTTAACAACTCAATACATGAATGAATGTCAAAAATTTATGGGCATTGTATAGATAATCTTTTTTTACATTAAGCTAAGTGTGTAGAGTTTGTCTGTTCTTTTATATAAACAATATATTTTAAAATCTTTTATTACTCTGCAAGATAATTTGAGTGGATCATTTTCTTATTAAACAAGCATAATAGTTTTCAACTTATATATTACTCAAGCTCTTTAGAAAAATATTATTGCATCATCTTTTGGGGTAGCCCAATGATTTGGACTTGAGACTTCAATGTTGGAGGTCTCAAGTTTGAAATCCCTTGCCAGCGAAAGCAAGATATTTGTCTTTTGAGTCTCGTCACACCAGACTTACCTAATGCGGGTTATCTCTCCTATGTGATTTGCGACCTATTGCATAGAAGCGGACGCTTTACCCTATGCGCATCTAAAGGGTAGCGGCTACATATTTTCCTTACCATAAAAAATATATATTATCGTATCCGTGTCGAATAGAGAGTTTATGACTAGTCATCACTAACCAAACAAAATGAGGCCCAAAAAAATGGCAGAGTCCATAGACTCAAAGCTCCAAATAGTCATGTTCCCATGGCTTGCATTAGGCCATATAATCCCATTTCTCAACCTCTCCAATGAACTTGCTAAAAAGGGTCACAAAATCTCATTCTTGTTACCCAAAAATGCTGAAATCAAACTTCAAAATCTCAATCTTTACCCAAATCTCATCACTTTCCACACACTCAAAATCCCTCATATCCATGGCCTTCCATATGGAGCTGAAACTACAGCTGATGTGCCTACATCTTTGGAAAGTTTACTAGCAACAGCTATGGATGAATTGTCTGATGAAATCAAATCTTTTCTTCAAAACCTAAAACCCCATTTCGTTTTCTTTGATTTTGCTCATTGGGTTACTGAAATAGCATTGGAAATTGGGGGTATCAAGACTCTTTGTTATAAACTTGCTTCCCCTGCTACATCAGCTATTTCATTGATTCGATCTCCGGAAAAGAGTGTTTTCATGGCATCAACTGCAGCTGAAAAAGTTAGGCCACCACCAGGTTATCCTTCTGACCCCTCCCTGTCTTTTTTTTCGGAAAATTTTAAAAAATAGCTATTGTTTGAGGTGTAATTAACAATCATAGTGATAATTTGGAGTAGGAGTGGGCATAAATACCGAAAAATTGAACCGAATGGAAAAAAATCGGTTCTTCAGTGTCGGTTCTTCGGTGTTTTGGTTCGGTGTCGGTTTTTTTTCCGAAACTTCGGTTCTTTGGTTTGGAGTTCGGTGTAAGGTTCCCGAAACTACGGTGCACCGAAGAACCGAAGTTTTATTAAATAAATTTAAAAGTATTTATTATATTACTTAATTTTTAACTTTACTTGACCCATTTTAATTTTTATATTTAGATCCTAAACTTAAATAGCAAAAATCTTAATAACAAAATAGTAAACCCTAAAGACCTAAAGTCTAAACTAAACAAAACTCAATTTAATTCAAGTTTGAATAACAACTTGGTGTTTCTACTTTTTACTTTATGATTTTATCATTTTATGTTGTTACTTTGAAGTGAGAACAACAAATTGATACTCTTACCTTCTATTGTTAGATGGTTAGTTGTTATTTTGAAGTTTGAAGTGTGAATTGAATAACAATTGTTACTTTATCATATTCTCTCTTTATTTTTGTTGACACCGAAAAACCGATTTAAAAACACCGAACTAAACCGAACGGAAGTAGAAAAAACCGAACCGAACTGAGCTAGTTTGGTTTGAAATATGGTGCACACTTTTCTAAAACCGAATACCGAAGAACCAAACCGAAATTTAATTAAACCGAACCGAAGAACCGAACGTCCACCCCTAATTTGGAGTGATACAAAAGTTTCTAAAAATCCGCTAATTGTTGTGACTATATAGCAACCAGTCCTTTACACAAGACCTTTTCTTCCTGAGCATGAAAAGAGGCATTTAGAAGAACATCAATTATCGAGTTGGCTCGAGAAATTCGAGCCATGATCAGTAGTGTTCTGTACATTTGGGAGCCAATTGAAACTTGTAAAGAGGCAGTTTTTAGAACCTGTCTTAGGCCTTGAACTAACTGACCTACCATTTCTTGTAGTTGCTAAACCACATGAATCCCTTGACCTACCAGTTCTTATTTTGGCATTATCAACAGTTTTCCAACATATTTAAGTATTTGACCACTCTTGATGCGAAAGCCATTAAAAGAATAACAATTTTTCGTGATCTATATATAAGTTACGGATTCAAGCTATGAAAACAATTATTAATGGTTGTATTAGGTAGACTAGACTAGACTGTCTACATCACATATTTTGTGGTGCATTCTTCCCCCAAACTCGTGTTAGCGGGATGCTTTGTGCCCCGAACTATCCTATTCGAAGCAATTAGATGTCCAATTCGAGCCTATATGACATGACCGATCAATAGATCCACCTTTGTCATATACTCCCTCCGTCCCTATTTACTTGTCCATATTTCCTTTTTTAGTTGTCCCTATTTAGTTGTCCATTTTGACAAATCAAGAAAGGACAACAAATTTTTTCCTATTATACCCTTATTTACACTTCTTGAAAATTGTAAAAGTATATGTTGTTTCCCTCCAATTTATTTCACTTTAATTCAAATAAGTGGTTGTAATTTTGAAGTGAAAAGTTGTCATAAGGGTAAAATTGTAACTTCACTGTGCTAATCATTGTTGCCTTAATCTGTGTGCCATTTCTAAAGTGGACAACTAAAAAGGGACGGAGGGAGTATTTTATACATCTATAGCTTTTGATTAATTGCATTTATGTGGAGACAATAATTATAACCACCATAGAGAGTTTCTCCATATTTTGATTTATTCATCAACTTTGACGGTTCATGTCATTGGCTTAAGTCTTTGATTTGGACTTTATTGGGGCATCGTGTGGGGAGAGCGGAGCTACATTACCAGAAAGGAACCAGACAAACTCAAATTTTTGCTTATTTTTTGTATTTGTATTAGAAAATATATTAAATATGTATAAACATTAATTACAAATCCAATAATTAAAATGAGCTATGGGTTTTAATTGCAAAATTCAAAATTCGTAAATTTTAAATTCTGGTCTCATCTCTACATGTGAGTCAATTCGTATAAGCTTGGATTTTCCGAACATGACTCATTTGACAACTCAATACATGGATGTCATAAATCTATTGACATTAAATAGGTAATCTTTTTTTACATTAAGCTAATTATGTAAAGTTTGTTTGTTTGTTCATATAAACAATGTAATTTAAGAATCTTTTATTACTCAGCAAGATAATTCAAGTCGGTCATTTTAGTATTAAACATGCATAATAGTCTGCATTCACCTAACATATTGCCTGGGCTTTTCAAAAATATTGTCTCATCTAAGACCATCTCCAACCTTACTCTATTTTAGTTTCTATTCTCTATATTTAGAGAGTAAAATAGAAAATGCCCTCTCCAAACACTCTCTATTTTACCCTCTACTCTCCAATTATAGAGAGTTGAATAGTAGTTATCCAAATTTGGAGAATTACTATTCATACTCTCTATTTCACTTTTTGAATATTGTATTATTACTTCTATTATTTTGTAATTAACATATTATTTTCGTATAAGGATATTAATTAAATCTCTAATATTCATAATTTTTTTGAAAATGTAATATAACATTTTAAAAAATATATTATTTAGTATATATTACTTTCATCCCGAATAAATAATATTTCAATTTTTCTTTTTTAAATTTTCGTCACTTTAAGTGAATATAATTTGATATTATTATTAATTTTTACTATGAAGAATGCACAAAATTTAATGATAAAATGAAAATTTAAATAAAAATACAACACATAACATACTTATTTAAATACAAGATAACAATACAAAAACAATACATAACACAATTATTTTTAAAATCACAATAATAATTTAATGATCCGGTAGGTCCTTTCCAAACTTAACAATATTCCAAAAAAAAATTAGTGTATGATCCAGAGAAGTTGTGATTGCGGTTGTACTTGTTGATTTCTTTTTTCAGTTGAAATAAAATAAAATCTTATATTACATGTAAATTATATAGGGTGATTATTTGGAAAAAAAAGAAAGAAAGGATTTAAAAGATAAATAATAATATAATATGGTGGAGAGAGAGAAGAAGATTTTTTTTAAAGAGTAAAATAAAGAATTGAGTTAGAGTTGGTTGTCTTGAAAAAAAAATTAGAGAAATTTATATTTGGTGGAGATTAAACAGAGGGTAGGGTTGGAGATGCCCCAAGCCCAAAAAAAATGGCAGATTCCATAGACTCAAAGCTCCAAATAGTCATGTTCCCATGGCTTGCTTTTGGCCATTTAATCCCATTTCTCAGCCTCTCCAATGAACTTGCTAAAAAGGGTCACAGAATCTCATTCTTGTTACCCAAAAATGCTGAAATCAAACTTCAAAATTTCAATCTTTACCCTAATCTCATCACTTTCCACACACTCAAAATCCCTCATATCCATGGCCTTCCATATGGAGCTGAAACTACAGCTGATGTGCCTAGATCTTTGGAAACTCTACTAGCAACAGCTATGGATGAATTGTCTGATGAAATCAAATCTTTTCTTCGAAATCTAAAACCCCATTTCGTTTTCTTTGATTTTGCTCATTGGGTTCCTGAAATAGCAACAGAAATTGGGGTTATCAAGACTTTATGTTATAAAATCGTTTGCCCTGCTACATCAGCTTATTCATTGGTTCGATCACCGGAAAAGAGTGTTTTTATGGCATCAACTGCAGCTGAAAAAGTTAGGCCACCACCAGGTTATCCTTCTGCCCTCCTCCCTCTTTTTTTCCGGAGAATTTTCAAAAATAGCTATAGTTTGAGGCGTAATTAACAAACATAGTGATAATTTGGATACTTACTAATGCAGCTCGGGTTTGTGAGATTCGCTCTGTATCAGTAATACTACAGTTTCGGAAAATTCGCTTTGTATCATTGATACAACAACAGATACAAAGTGAATTAATCTTTGGTGACTACATAGAAACACAATTTGAAAAGTCAGTCCTTTACACAGGACCTGTTCTTCCTGAGCCTGAAAAGGGCCTTTAGAAGAACATAGATTATCGAGTTGGCTCGAGAAATTCAAGCTAGGATCAGTAGTGTTCTGTACATTTGGGAGGTAATTGAAACTTGAAAAGAGGCAGTTTTAAGAACTTGTCTTAGGCCTTGAACTAACTGATCTACCATTTCTTGTAGTTGTTAAATGTTAGTGAAAAATTACAAAATAATAGAATTACAAGATTACAATTGAAAATAAAATGAAAAAATAAAATCTCTTCAGGCTGAGGCGCGGATATCTCGCTCTCTTTAAGGAGATTCAAGTCCACTGCAACAAATGTTTTCACCGGTCCAGTAGTAGTTCTTCTTGACTTGTCCCCTCCAACAAGATACAATAGCCTAATCACAAAATATAACTCAACAACTCTGGACAAGAGTTGAGTCCAAAGCTCTACAAAAAGAACACCTCCCTTCAACTAATAAGAACTCTCTTTTTGACAAACTTTATACACTCGATATTTTTCTTGTATCTAAACCAAATGAAGACCACCACTATTGATAGTTGGGGATGTCTTCCTAGCAATCAATAGGAAGATAATGGGGGTAGTAAATAGCGAAGATAAATGGCCTAGAGGTTATATAGATTGCAAAGAATAATGGAGGGATAATTTGGAGAAGTAATGGTGTGGGCAACAAATGCACCAACGTGCAAATGAAGAACTGCCAAAGACTGTTGACCACAACGTTCACTGGAACGTTATATGACTTATGTCATCTGCCAATAAAGCCAAAATAATTGGCATTAACATGACCAATAAAAAATGGTAATTAGGCAGCATTAAGTCACAACTAAAAGAGCTACTTTAATATAAAATAATATTAAAATGCTTAATAACCAACATTAAACCACATGAATCCCTTGACATAAGAAAATTTTGTGTATGATAACGAGTTAATGGGGTTTCAAAAGTTGTTTTAGGTCACAAGTTTGAAATTCAGCTATTTTTTTAACCTTTTATATAAAAACCTGACCAGCCAACTTCTTCCAGCTTGTTCGAAAAAACAAAAGGGAACTGTTAAGCTTGTAACTTTAGTACCTATATTATGCATCATATAGTGCCATGATTTGCTAGTATATTTGCAACTTTATTATGCTCTCTAAAAATGTGCTCAATTGGTGGATCTCCAGGTTACCCTTCTAATACTGTGGTGCTGCACGAACACGAAGCTAAGTTGCTTGAGTTTCTATTTCAAGAATATGGCAAGGGAGTGACAATATACGAACGGTTGTCGAAGGGAATGACACTATGCGATGCAATAGCTTTGAAAACATGTCGAGAAATTGAAGGAACATTTGGTGACTACTTAGCCACACAATTTAAAAAACCAGTCCTTTACACTGGACCTGTTCTTCCTGATCCTGAAAAGGGGCCTTTAGAAGAACATGGATTATCGAATTGGCTCGAGAAATTCGAACCAGGATCAGTAGTGTTCTGTGCATTTGGAAGCCAATTGATTCTTGAAAAGAAACAGTTTCAAGAACTTGTTTTAGGCCTTGAACTAACAGGTCTGCCATTTCTGTTAGTTGTTAAGCCACCTGAAGGAACAAAGTCAGTAGAAGAAGCCTTGCCTGAGGGATTCAAAGAAAGGGTTCAAGAAAAAGGATTGATTCTTGATTGTTGGGTGCCTCAATTGAAGATTTTAACTCACAAATCAGTTGGTTGTTTTGTGTCACACTGTGGTTATGGATCAATGTGGGAATCTTTAGCATTGTGTGATTGTCAATTAGTACTTTTGCCAAGTGCTAATGATCAAACTTTAAGTTCTAGGCTGATGGAACAAGATCTTAAGGTTGGTGTTGAAGTGAAGAAGGATGAAAATGGTTGGTTTTCAAAGGAGAGTTTGTGCAAGGCTGTGAAATGTGTCATGGATAAAGATAGCCAAGTTGGTTGTTTAGTGAAAGAGAATCATAGAAAATGGAAGGAAGTTCTTTCAAGTCCTGGTTTCATGAGCAACTATATTGATAGTTTCATTCAGAATTTGCATGAACTTCTAGTTAAATAGACCTAGAATTGGCAGGCAGTTGAAGTTACGGGTTCAATATGTATAATAACATATTCCGAACTCATAAACGTTAAAACTCTGAATCCGCCTCTAGTCGGAGACAAATGTTTGTACTTTGCATCATACTCCATTTTCTGAATAGATGTGTTGTAGTACAATAATTGTCCTAATGTTGCTATGATGACCACCTTGTGGTGATTTGATTTATTAATAGTTCTGTTTAGTTTTGATTCCATGGGGAATTTTGAATTTTATGCTATACATATGCTTCTTGATATTATACCTCCCAAAATCAAACCATCTAATGATATACCATTGCATCTGGATCAGACGTTTTAATGCAGTGTTTACGAGTTATAGAACTTTCGTTCAAAATATTTTCCGTGGAAAACGCTTTTCTTCGTACCAAACACACCCTCTAAAAGCACTTCTAAACACTCAAGAATTAAAGTGTGAATGGTGTTTAAAAGACGAGTATGTAGAGATGATCGTTTTATCTATGATTGGACTTGATTAGGTCTCAAGTCACAGTTACGTTACCTTTTTTAATTTCTCCAATAATATTGATATTTAGCTATCATTTGGCCATAGATTTTCAAATATTTTTGGCAAATATTATTTGGGTGAAATTACCCCTTGTGTTTGGCCATAATATTTGGGAAATATATTTCACTTTTTTAATAAATATGATTTATACTCATAAATTTTAATAACTATCAAAATTAACCATAGGTTCAAATTACATAGCAAGATAGAAATATCGACGTAACAAGATTCATGACTTTCGCAACAAGTCAATTGAATCTTCGTTGCAACAAATAACTAGTGTCTATGGCGTTGGAGCAATGGGGTAATTTGGAGTGAGTGCAACAAGCATCACTCTATACATAGTAAAGTAGACGAAGCAAGTGACTTTATTACCCTAAGTCGATTGTTCGTCATTTTTCATCAACAACCATACATCACTTTCATATTTACTTAATATTTCATCACTGCTTTGGAATTCATGTAAAAAATTATGTAATACAACGCAAACACCTAACTATAGAGAGTGTTTTGTAAAAGATAAAAGTTTGGTGTAAAATTTTAAATATTTTAATACCTCCCAAATGATGAAATATGACCCAAATACTAATTTTTTTCTAATATTTGGAAATTTGGGTTATTTGCCAACTAATGACAAATTATATGGACAAATACTATTTGCCAATTTTTCCCCAAATCATACTTGGGAAATCTATGGCTAAACGGGTCCTTGAACTAAGTTGAAACGACAACATTTCACCAATTATTTGTTACCTCCAACCAACACATATACTTTAACAACTCTAATTATCCAAGCTTAGGCAAATGAAAAAAGAGCACCTTTGTGTTTTTGTGTCTGCCAGAGCTTGAACTCTGACAATGCATAGTTTTTACCAACTTCATTGACCGTTAAACCACACCCTTGAGTGCCCGTGTGTGCCACCAACTACAACTGAGCACTAGCCAACAGGTAATATGCAAAAAAAAATTAAAAAAATCAGATCTCCTACTAAATGCAACTGAGTTGTGCGGACAGGGGTGTGTGAAAAGCATACTTTAGGATTACAATTTATAGGTATGCTTCTTAACTGCCAACTTTCATGTATGCAACTAATATGCTGTACAAATCAAAAACTCCTTTTAAAGTTCACATCATTATGAATTTTCTGCTTGCAGACTTGGTGGTTCCCATATATACAATTGTCCCCTAAACATTAAGTCATGGGGGAGTTGATCACTGCCCACGATCTACAATGATGGAAGTCCAATGAAAACAGAAACTCATGAAATGTAAGCCTTAACAAGCTCTGTGTAGTTGCAGGTGAGGCCTGTCCTAGGACATGTGATTCTGCCGTCATTCTTCTTCGCCATTTCTTCGAGTGCCTGTCATCACATAGATACAAGTCAGATTATCGCTGAAGGAAGCACAAATGTGGAAGCAAATAAAGGCATACCTTGGTGCTATAGACATAGCCATTAGGCAATACAAGGGGTGGATTTTCAGTATCCATCAGTTCTTTGGTTATGTAGCAAACAAGCTTCGAGTGATGCTGCTTTGAATATGGTAGCGGCGATGCTAATTTACGGAAGCTCTCCTGTGACAATGGATCCTCCTTTGTACAATCATCTTCATAACAGAATCTATAGATTCGGTCAAGGAGAAGTCATGGAGCAGATAAATTTAAAATTTTCCTTCGGTTCCTCTTTCCCTTTTCCCAATGAATATTAGGAGCTTTGGCCATCAATGGCAGAGGGAGTTCGAAAATATCAGCAGTTAGTAAATCTGAAAATCATTATCAGCTGTCACTTCCTAGTTCCCACATGTAAAAGCATATACAGCAGACCACCCTGATTATACCGTCACGTATGTAATTGATCATTTATATTAACTTGATTCTTAACAGTAAACTACAAATTTGTATGGTGATCATCTGTACGCAATATTTCCCTGGCAAAAAATCATGTGTTAAGGATACGGAGTTTTCAGTGCAGACAGCCCTGCTTGCAGATATATATTCAGCAAAGGCTCAAGAGTCATGCCATATAACTTGCAGAACTCTTGTTTGAATTGATCAATCAGGTAATCCCACTGCTTTGATTCAAATAAAACCTGTAACAGAAACTGAAAACTGTCAAGTAACCTCCTGTTGGTGCATAATTATCTTGAACTGTTCGTATTCTACTCAAGTGTGATTCTTCATATAAAGCAGACAACCATCTCAGTTCTCACAAGATCATGAAGAAACAGACCAATGAGGGAAAGTGAAAGCAAACAGAGATAAGAATTTCCATACATGATATCTGAGAGTTGCAGAAGCAATGCATAAAACATGCATACATTATTACATATAGTAGAATAGTCCATTTTTCTAGTAACTCATTGCTCTAATTTGTTCATATGCAACAAACTTATACTGTATCAAATAATGAGTTACTAGAAATATGGACTATATGTAATAATTCTTGAAAGCGTTGATGGTGAAAGAGTCTAACCAAATTGAAGAAACTAGTTAAGAATTCTAAACTCATAACATTCCGACAACAAAGTGCAAACATACAGAAAACTAGCACGAAAGACCTTAACCTTGTAAGTTGTACATTCAGTATTACTCTTGAAAGCAAGTGTCGCCAAGACCCGCTGCAACTCTTTCATGTGGGTAGAGCCCCAAGGTGCAAGATATTTCCGAGCATATGTAATGGCCCGCATCATGTTTTCAGCTCTTACCAACTCTATGAACTCTTGCAGTCTCAACTGGAATTCAAATTTGCTCTGTTAACAAGAAAAGCAATCAGCACCTTGTATTTGCAGCACAATGATCCAAAATGCAGCACTACTAGCAAAATCCTTAGAGAACACTGTTACCCAAAGATACAACTCCCAAATTGGAGTTGAAAAAAAATCCTCTCCGTCTTCAAATGCTTGACATGTTCTGCCTTTTCACCATTTTGAAATAAGAAAAATTGCAACTTATTTTATCTTTTTGTATATCTTTTTAATATCTACATTTTCATCAAAAATAATTAATCAAGAGTATGCAGTTTCAAAAAAGGGTCAAACTGATCATTGATATAGCAAAACATGTCGCATAAATTGGCACAGGGGGGTTAGTTATATACACAGATACTTTACTCCCTTTTAGATCAATGATATGTAAGTTGTGACAACATTCTGCAGTAGCCATCCAATATCTATCCACGAACAGAGCCTAACTTAGAGACTCACAGGACCTAGTCGCCAAGCAAGATTACTTTCATGACCATTTATCCTTATTATTTGATAAGTTTCATGATCATTTATCCCTCTGACATGTAAGACTTGAATGAAGCCTGGTATAAAAGGAAGAGCAAACTTTGTAGATACATCTTTTAAAGTATGCCGAGAACAGAATTAAGAGACCACCTAAGTTCATGGCTCTCTAAAGCAACTTCATCCAACAAAAAGAGGATGGATTTCCGCATTACAAGCTCACAGCTCATACAACTTTATATCCAGGACAAATGTAAACACAATTCCAAGCAATCATCCAGTTACATCTCAATAAATGAATCTAAAGTACTTAAACCAGTACATCCTCTCTCTTTTTTGGTTCTTTTTTAATAAGGTTAAGTATTATTGAAACAGGACCAAGAAGGTACACAGGGATACAAGAAACGAAACAAGACCTGACCAGACAATCTGCTTTTCTTCTCTACTTAACAACTCCAGAAAATCCATGTACATCCTGATCAAATCATTGGAATGACAAAAAGAATGCGGATTTCCTATGGTTAACAATTTCAATCAAGACAAAGACAGTCCACTATAGTTGTTACCAGCTGCAATCATGCTTTGTACTACTAGTTTAAAATGCAACAGTTATTGGTATTACTACTGTCGTTATACCTTCACAACTCTGTTATGACTACTACAATCGTCAACATTTGAAATCAAAAGTTATTGCATTGTAACAGCAATTAATGCATTTGATGAACATCATCCAATGGCAGATGCTCTTTTTTAAGCTTTGATCTCCTGAAGCATGAAGTAGCTCATGAAATTGTATCGTGTATAAAACTATTCAATTGATAAGAGAAGATCAAGTGCTCTACCCATTGGACCGCTGCTTTAAACGCGAGACATTAACAAGATGACAAACCAAAAGTTTTACATCACGCAAGCAGTCCATCCCTCAAACATTATTCCAAAACTGTGTAAACGAAGTAATGCATAATGATAGTGATATAACCCCCAAACCCCTTTTTATGCTATTTTCACATCAATAATACCTACTTTACCGATAAAAAAAGTGAACCCCAAACCCATATCCTTTCCTTTGTGGATCTCATAGCAATCTGGTGGACTATGCTACAGTTAAGAGGGCAGATGCAGAGTCCTCATGCATGCCTTACCAAGTTAGAATTAAATCCCATAGCCATCATACCCTGTATATTGGTCAAAGATTACCCCACTCTAACTGACTTCACAATATCCAAGGATATGATAGCTCAATTCTGCTGGTGTGCATGCTAAGATATATTATATTG